TTTTTTTTTTTTTTTTTTTTTTGACATCTGCTCATCAATTTTCATTAAAATGGCCAATTTCTAAACTTCTATTTTGTGAAGTTATAGTTACCTGCTCTCCAGGCACATTATCATGATAATGAATGAGAATGAGACCTTTGACAACTGCTCTTACTTTATATTTTAATTTGATAAGTTGGGCTCTGGCATCCAGGAACACTAATCCGCCATGGTTGTTAATACTTATAATTGCAAAAAGATATGACAGACAGTGGAAACACTGACAGAATTCTGCGCTTGGGCTTGTTGACAGCTTTCATTGCTTCCTGCCACATTGTACTGGAGGTATGCATTAATCAGCTGTCCTGTGCGGTTTCTTGCCTTGCCACTTAATCACTTGACTAATAACCTTTTTGACAAAGAATACAGCTAGTTTCCTACAGCTCAATTACGTATTTCAACTGATAAAATAAATCACTTTCTTTTAACAGTTGAAATATTTCAAAGTGTGAAAGAAAAATGCAATTTATATCCCCGGAAACACTGGTTTTCAAAAGTATACTTGTATATTTTGAAATTAAAAACAAATTCTGTGAAATTGAATTTGTCATTGCAGTAAATTTTCATAAACCTCTTGTTTTAATAATTACTGCTGACAGTGGATGGCAGAAATGAACGTTGTGTAACAGTAGTAAGACTTAAAATTTGTTTTTGAATTTAATCGCATAAGCGTCATTTCAAGTAATTTGTTTACCTTTTATTTAGTCTCAGACTAACTAGTTACTGTTTAACTTTTGAAGTATTTTTACTTGGGTTATCAGATTTCATAATAAAAGTAGTTGAATATCATAGTGTTGTATAAAAGGTCATCTGTTTTGTATTAGCTCTAGAAAGCTCTCTGCACCTGAAAATTACAGGTGTTGATTTGAGTCAGTTCATGATCTGTTTTTAGAATCTCATAATGTTCATGTTTGAGAATATGTATGGTTAAATATGTCAGAGAGAGGGAGCAAATGTTTCAGTATCTGGAAGTACTTAAATCCTGAGTTTTAGTAATGTAGAAGTACTTCTATTTAAAAAGGTGGGTTGGGGGTGGGAACTGTTTGTCTTTCTTTCCCCTGTAATCAAAATTTTTTCAAAATAATACTATTCTTTATACTTTTAATTAATATTTCTATTAAAATCTATTTTTACACTATGAAAGGACCTTGTTAACCCCAAAATATTTTTAAAAACATACTCTACAGGTTCTTGATACCTTAGTATATTAAAAACAAAACGTAACCAAAATGTGAGAAAATAATAGCAGTGAAATCAAAATGAAAAGTTAACTTTTTAGTATGAGAATTAAGAGTGAGCTAATGTCACTAAATAGTAATGTGTTGAACAAAAAGAGAGAGTTGTCTTGAATAACAGAGTACCAGCAGAAGAAATAATAGACTTACTTTGGCCGTCGTATTAATTCTTTTGACAGCATTTTTACTTATGCGTCAGTTTTCTCCCTGAAATGAACTTAAGCTACTATTTTGATAGGTTAGTGTTTAAACGAATTACATATGTTAAAACTAATAGTTTAGTAATGGCATACTTTTACTGGCACAACATTGGAATGGTGTTGATTTATTAGCTATGTATATGTGTTGGTGGAGAAAAAGTATTTAGTGATAACATAACTGGTTCATTTGAAGTCTCATCTATAGCAAAACCTCCTAAGTTAAAAACAGGATTTCAGTTTTGAAAATAACTCTGTCCTTTACCAGATAAATATTTGTCCTTCAGTGACATGAGACAAAGGGTATAAATTGAGTTGGGATGGATGAGTAGTTGCCATCGTTACAGTTATGGTGCATTAAAATCCACATGGCAGCAAGTAGTAGCTGAGGCAGCAGTTCAATTGAGGTTGTACAAATAAATCTATTGCATTGCTATAGTATCATACTTTACTGCAGAGAACATTTGCTGAATTGTGCTCTAGTCAGTGACACTTAACTGAATAAAATGCTTTAAAAAATTGGCTGTGCACTGTGGCTTATGCCTGAAATCTGTACTCCCAGCACTTTCGGAGGCTGAGGTGAGAGGATCGCTAGAGCCCAGGAGTTCAAGACCAGCCTGGGCAATATAGTGAGACCCAATTTCTGTAAAAAAAAATTTTTTTTTTTTTTTTTTTGTGATGGAGTCTCACTCTGTCACCAAGCTGGAGTGCTGGAGTGCAGAGGCACGATCTTTGCTCACTGCAACCTCCACCTCCTAGGTTCAAGTGATTCTCCTGCCTCAACCTCTAGAGTAACTGGGACTACAGGCGTGCGCCACCACACCCAGCTAATTTTTGTGTTTTTTTTTTTTTTTTTTTTTGAAACGGAGTTTCGCTCTTGTTACCCAGGCTGGAGTGCAATGGCGCGATCTCGGCTCACTGGAACCTCCGCCTCCTGGGTTGAGGCAATTCTCCTGCCTCAGCCTCCTGAGTAGCTGGGATTACAGGCACATGCCACCATGCCCAGCTAATTTTTTGTATTTTTAGTAGAGACGGGGTTTCACCATGTTGACCAGGATGGTCTCGATCTCTCGACCTCGTGATCCACCCGCCTCGGCCTTCCAAAGTGCTGGGATTACAGGCTTGAGCCACCGCACCTGGCCGTAATTTTTGTATTTTTAGTAGAGACCAGGTTTCACCATGTTGGCCAGGATGGTTTCAATCCTTGACCTCATGGTCTGCCCACCTCAGCCTCCCAAAGTACAGGGATTACAGATGTGAGCCACTGTGCCCAGTCAATTTTTTTAAAAAAAATTATATAAAATTAAGGAAGGGTTTAAAGCTATAATGAAAAGTGGGCATCTTGGTGTGTGTCTTTAAGGGTAATATTGTTTGTTGTTGTTGTCGTAGTAGTTTTTAAGACAGGGTCTCACTCTATTACCCAGGCTGGAGTGTAGTGGCTGGAGTGTCATGGCTTACTGCAACCTCAAATTCCTGGGCTCAAGCAGTCCTCCTGCTTCAGCCTCTCAAGTCTCTGAGGACTGCAAGAACACATCACCGTGTCTGGCTAATTTTTTCTTTTTTCTTTCTTTCTTTCTTTTTTTTTTTTTTTTGTAGCAATGGTGTCTCACTATGTTGCTCAGGCTGGTCTCAAACTTCTGGGCTCAAGGGATTCTCCCACTTCAGCCTCCCAAAATACTGGGATTGCAGACATGAGCTACCTAGCCCAGCCTGAAATGTTCTTAATGTGTCTTTTTCTTACTCATCATCATTGGTTCAGCAAGCTTCTGAATAATAAATCATTAATCATTAACTGTTCTGTGAATGGAAATCACATGTAATCCATTAAGAAAATGGATGTTTGTATTTTTTGTATGTAGGTATTTGTATTTTTATGCATTAATTGAATACTTAACATATGCAGAGTATTAGTGAGGCATTTTGAGAGAAGAAACACATACACAGTACTGAAGACATATTCATACGTATTAGATTTTAAACCTTTAACCTTTACATTTTGAGGGTTTTTTTTGTTTTTTATTTTTGTTTTTTGTTTTCTGAGATGGAGTCTTGCTCTGTAGCCCAGGCTGGGGTGCTATAGTGTGATCTCGGCTCACTGCAACCTCTGCCTCCTGGGTCCCAGTTCCAATTCTCCTGCCTCAGCCTCCTGAGTAGCTGGGATTACTGGCACATGCCACCACGCCCAGCTAATTTTTGTATTTTTAGTAGAGACAGGATTTCACCATGTTGGCCAGGCTGGTCTTGAACTCCTGACCTCGTGATCTGCCTACCTTGGCCTTCCAAAGTGCGGGGGTTATAGGCATGAGCCACCGTGCCCAGCCTACACTTTGAGTTTTACATAAGAGCTTTGATCTGTGATAAAGCATGGAAATTATCAGCACCAACACTGAAACCGGACTACCTTGTGTTTCAATACCATCTCAGCCACTTACAAACTGGCTAACTTTGGGCAGTTTACCTCACCTCTAATCCTCATTTTCCCGTCTGTGTAATGTAGATAATAACAGTACATATATCACAGGATTGTTATGAGAACTAAATGAGTTAATACATGTAAAATGTTTTAGTTGTTAGTGAATCATTAATGAATATTAGGTATTATGTAATTAATTTTAGATCAATGAGAATTCTTATGGCTAAACCTCTAGAAAAGAGGCTTAAATAATATTGAGGAATAATATATGTGATGATTCATTTCAACTTTCACTACCATTGGGCTAACTAGCTTTCCAGCTGGCTGTATAACAACTTCGTTTAGGCTCCAGGTTCAGTTCTATAAGAGCAATGATCATGTACTTGCTTTCATTAGCTTATTTTGGAGCTTATATAAAAATGATCAGCAAGAGGGGGTGAATTTTACAAGCAATGCTAAAGGAGGGGAGATGTTTTATTATTTTTTAACCTCTTTGGTGGTATAAGGAGTGTGCATTGGGGTTTTATAATTCAGAGAGATTTTTGGGGAGGGAATTAGGTATGGATTTGGGAAAAAGTAATGATAATTTAGTGGTTCAATTATATGTATTCTCTCCACTTATCATCACCCAATTGCTTCAGTAATTCAACTTATATACTAATATATTTTTTAAAAATTGAATAATGTGAAATTCTACCATCTCCACAAAATGGCAGGGAAATAACTAGAATGTATAAAAAATGAGTTGATAATTATCTTTTGGCATACTTCTGGTATATCAAATAATTCATGCCATTAAATCTTTCTCACTAAGCTGTCATATGGTTATTAGAGCTGAATGAAAAGCATGTCAGGTGTCTAAAAACAAAAGTACACCTCTGCACAGTTGTGTAGATATACACAGGTCTCAAACACTTCTAATCTGATACGTGTTGATGACTTCATCTGGATATGAGGCCTAGTACAACTTGAAGGCATTTAAAGTAGATCTCTTATCCTTGTAGAGAGAATTACTTTAGAACTAGAAAATAGCAAATTCTGAAATGTTGTCTTTATAAATGTCACATGGACAAGTAAATAGTCTTACTGAGCAAGGCGTATACTTTTTCCCCTTAGTATTGAATTTGACCGGGATTGTGACTATTTTGCGATTGCTGGGGTTACAAAGAAGATTAAAGTTTATGAATATGGCACCGTCATCCAGGATGCAGTGGATATTCATTACCCTGAAAATGAAATGACCTGCAATTCCAAAATCAGGTATTTACATTATTTTCTTCTCATGATACAGTATATATAGTAACAATTTGCATATGTAATTATCACGAGATTATTTTACCTTGCCATGACCCTTTTTTTTCTTTTTTTTCCGAGATGGAGTCTCGCTCTGTTGCCCAGGCCGGAGTATAGTGGCGCGATCTCAGCTCACTGCAATCTCTGCCTCCCGGGTTCAAGTGATTCTCTGCCTCCACCTCCAGAGTAGCTGGGATTACCGGTGCCCACCAGCATGCTCGGCTAATTTTTTTGAATTTTTAGTAGAGACAGGTTTTCACCATATTGGCCAGGCTGGTCTTGAACTCCTGTCCTCATGATCTACCTGGCCTCGGCCTCCCAAAGTGCTGGGATACAGGCGTGAGCTACCATGCCCTCAGCTCCATGACACTTCTTACTCATTCGTGGTGAACATTATAATTGTACTGTGTATACAGGGTGTATATTATTATTTAGATCATCTTTCTTGCAGATATTGCTTGCTTTTTTCTTGTGGGGTTAGCTTTTTTTTTTTTTTTTCTACTTGCCAAATGAAAGCTCTTTTTTCAATTAATCAAATAAAGGTCTTTGTTGCAGATGATTGTCGGAGACGCTGTAGAGTATTGAATCAGGATTAATGTAGCTTAATATAAAAACATCAGGAATTTTTCCCCTAGCATGGACATATCTCAACATATTAGAATGGTTTCTAGTTTTCAGAATTTTTTATAAGAACATTCTGCTTTTCACTGAAGGAATGGTGTTTATGTTTTATGTTTTAGAAATTATACTTCATAAGCAGTGCTTTTCAGACTTAAAATACTGTTAATGTTTACAGTCTCTACTTGATCTGCTCCCCAAAAAATCTCAGAAGAATCCTAGAATCTGCTTTTTTGTTTGTTTGTTTTCTAAACAAGCTTCCCAAGCTGTTCTCTTGAGCATGGGCTTTATGAGGACATCATCTAATAATAACTTTGTATGTAACTTTGAACATTTTCAAAATAGCTATCCTTGAACCTTTCTTATCTTTTTAAATGACATACATAGTATGTTTGTTACAATCTTTGTATAATTAATTTGTTATAGTTTTCTTTTTTCTAGTTCATTTATAAAAATACTATCTTGATAATTGGTGAGCTTGCCCATTCATTAGTGGCACTCGTCCGTTGAGAATCTATTATAGTTTCCGTTGAGAATCTGTTACAGTTTATGTCCTATGTGAAGAGGATGTACCATGAATTAGATACAACTTTATTGAATTCTTAGATATCAGGCATTAGATCCTAAATGATTTGTCTTTAGCAGATCTATGAGAAACTTAACCACTATTGCTCCATTTCATACAAAGAAAGCTGAGCACAGAAAGGTATTTACTAACCTGCATAAGATTATACAGCTGGTATATAGAGGAGCCAGGATTCAGACTGAAATAGTTTGTTTCTAGAGTTTGTGCTCTTAAACATTTCATGCTGCTTATTTATAAAATGGAGGCCATGATAGTAATACCTAATTAATAGGATTGTACCTTTAAAAAAATCCTCGTAATGCACTCAGAATAATACTTGGCCCATAGCAAGTATTTATGTTACATAATAGAACATTTAAATGTGCAACCTACCTGTTCTGTAATTATACATGTAAAAATCTGCAATACTTCTTAGTACATTGGAATAAATGGTGAAAGCACACAAGGCTGAAAGCTGTGGGCCTGGGGCTGAAAGGATCAATACCTAAGCATGTCCAAAATAGATTCGGAGTACATCTACTGTGAAAGTGAACTAAATTAGCCAGAGTCACAGCTAGTAAGTAACAGATTTGGAATTTGAACTCAAGTCTACCTAAATTCAAAATGTGGCTCTTAACTGTTCTGTGTAGTTTCTACCAGAAATTCTAATTAAATATATTTAAAAATGCAAATGGACTCTTCCAGTATCTGAAATTTAGCATGAATACAACTAGTAGAAAGCAGAAGATCCTTGTGTTCATGTCTAAGAAGTCATTTACATTAACTGCTTTATAAGTAGCTTCTTGTATAATACTCTCTCCCTTTACTATATTCATGATGCAGATATGTATCTCAGCAGAAGTATACGTTTTTATATGTTGTAGACTTTTGGAGCACTTGAGATATATCCAGAACCATAAATGATAAACGTTTTATTCTTTTAGATGCTTTTAATTGGAATTTTAGTCATAAGTTATAATTAGTCAAGACTGGCTGTAAATACAGAAACCCAATTCACTGTGGTTTATTTGGCTTATATGGTTTGTCAAAACTGGATACAGGGTCTTTTTTTTTTTTTTAATTTAAAATTTATTTTCTTTTTCAATGGACAGATGGATATAGGGTCTTAAACAGTCTCATCGGGTCTGTCATTCTTCCATGGTATGCCTTGAGCCCTCTGGACAGTATCACCTTCACTGATCGACATGCTTTCCTCATGTACCAAAGATGGCCAGTGGTGGCTCCAGGCTCACCCATCTTACAGCTAGTGATCACAGTAAAAAGTAGTTAGGGTCATTACTTGTTCATTTCAATTTCTAAAATTTCAAAATTATTGCTGTCTTTTCCCATGTGTGTTTTGGGCAAAATAATAATTGTCAACTGATATAGACCATTTTTAAATAGTGCAAATCTTTCTGAACACATTGAAATTCTTTTTATCCCATTGTTATTTATTTCTATGTAAAGTAACGTTTAACTATATTTCTTTCAGCTGTATCAGTTGGAGTAGTTACCATAAGAACCTGTTAGCTAGCAGTGATTATGAAGGCACTGTTATTTTATGGGATGGATTCACCGGACAGAGGTCAAAGGTCTATCAGGTAAATAAGAGTAGTAGTTATGTGTTGTATGGATCATATGTTTATTTTGTTAAAACTTTGAGAATTTCATGTGCTCTAGAATCACAGATATGAAGTCACTAGTGTTTTGTTTGTTTGCTTGTTTTACTAGTGTAACACCTATGAAATACCAAATACTTTTTTTCCCCATCTCCCTTTTTTGGTACCAGATACTTTTCCAAAGCATTTCCTAAGACTTTAGTCTTTATAGAATGCACCAAATATATTTCTAAAAGCAAGAATTTTAGTAAATGTATATATATATAAAGTTTTGAAAGTATTTTGCATCAACATCTTACTTGCTTTTCATTTTCTAACCTATTTTCTTTTCCTCTCCCCATAACAATAAGTTGGTGTCTGTTTTTCTTTTTTTTTTTTTCTTGCTTTATTCATTTTGATATCTCTATTCTGTCTGAGGCCACTGTGTCTTCCTTCTGCTTCCAGGAGCATGAGAAGAGGTGTTGGAGTGTTGACTTCAATTTGATGGATCCTAAACTCTTGGCTTCAGGTTCTGATGATGCAAAAGGTACTATTTGAATCTCTTTCTCACCACCGCCTTCTCCCTGGCCCTCCTAACCTTAATTCCTTTCATTGGCAGAAATACGAACATTTACTGAAACTCATGGCAGTCCTTTATGATAACTGATTATTATTATTATTGTTATTATTATTTTCTTTTATTTTTTGAGATGGAGTCTTACTGTGTCATCCAGGCTAGAGTATAGCGTCATGACCGCGGCTCACTGCAACCTCCGCCTCCCGAGTTCAAGCAATTCTCTGCCTCCTGAGTAGCTGGGATTACAGGTGCACACCACCAAGCCTGGCTAATTTTTTATATTTTTGTTAGAGACAGCGTTTCTAATGTTAGCCAGGCTGGTCTCAAACTCCTGACGTCAAGTGATCTGCCCACCTCAGCCTCTCAAAGTGCTGAGATTATAGGTGTGAGCCACTTCCCTGCCTCCTCCCCAGATGGAGTTTTGCTCTGTCACCCAGGCTGGACTGTAGTGGCGCCAGTCTCGGCTCACTGCAACCTCCACCTCCCAGGTTCAGACTATTCTCGTGCTTCAGCCTTTCAAGTAGCTGAGATTACAGGTGTCTGCCCCCACACCTGGCTCATTTTTCTTTTAATTTTTAGTAGAGGCAAGGTTTTACCATGTTGGCCAGGCTGGCATCAAACTCCTAATCTCCAGTGATCCACCTGCCTCAGCCTCCCAAAGGGCTGGAATTATAGGTGTGAGCCACCGTGCCCAGCCTACTGATTATTTTTTTTAAAAAAATCCAAGCAGGGCCTGGGTGCAGTGGCTCACACTTGTAATCCCAGCGCTTTGGGTGGTTGAGGTTGGTGGATCACTTGAGGCTAGAAGTTTGAGAACAGCCTGGCCAACATGGTGAAACCCCATTTCTATTAAAAATACAAAAATTAGCCAGGTGTGGTGGTGCACACCTGTGATCCTAGCTGCTGGGGTGGCTGAAACATGACACTTGTTTGAAACCGGAAGGTGGAAGCTGTAGTGAGTACAGATGTGACACTGCACTCCAGCCTGGACTCCAGAGTGAGACTCTGTCTCAAAAAGAAGAAGAAAAAAATCTGAGCAGAGAATTGATTTCTCTTTTTGAGTGAAAGAAAAATGAATATGCTACATCCTCAATCTAATGGATGTTTTTAGATTCATTCCACATGGAGACATTTAGAATTTCTACTGTCTTATAACCAAGTCCTTTAGATATGCCACCAAATGAGCTTTTTTTCCCCTTAAAATATTTAGAAATCTCTATATGCTGCATTGTATTTATTAAATTTCTATTATATACTAGAATCTCTTAATGATTGAAGTTCATCATATATCAAGGCATAATTCCAAATCACTTTCCAATTTAATTGACCTTTCTTTTCTCTTTCTTGTATATCCATGTTTACTATTCACTCTTCTCTTTTTCCTTAGTGTGTTGTTTTGGTCTGGTTTTTCTCACCATTACATGTATAAAACTATGTTAACAGATTTATTTTATTTTAGAGTTACTACTCTTAATTTATTTGCATTTTTTTTCTTTTCTGCATGTAACCTTCAGACTATTGATAGGGAAGGATAGCTCTAGTATTGGAGGCTTTATTTCAGTTCATGTTATACCTTTCCCTTTGGCCTTTTTAATACATAAAATAAATGAAATAATAGACTATGCTCTATTCTGTAAAAAAGGAAACAAACATGACTGGACTGCCCCTAAAAAGTTTTGGGTCATAGAGTAGCAAGTTTATCCATACTAGATATAGAATGGAATACCTTTTCTTGTTGTTTTAAGAAATTGTCAGCTGGGCATGGTGACTCACACTTGTAATCCTAGCAGTTTTGGAGGCTGAGGCAGAAGGATGATTTGAGGTCAGAAGTTTGAGATCAGCCTGCACGAGATCCTGTCTCTACAAATAATTCAAAAAATTACCTGGGCGTGGTGTTGTACAGATGTAATCCCAGCTGCTGGAGAGACTGGGGCAGGATCTCTTGAGCCCAGGAATTCAAGGTTACAGTGAGTAATGATTGTGCCACGTTGTACTCCACCGTGGATGACAGAGTAAGACCCCATCTCAAAAAAGAAAGAGAGAGGGAGGTAGCGGGTGGAGCGGAGAGGGAGAGAGAGGGAGGAAGGGAGGTGAGAAAAGGAGGAGAGAGGAAAAGAGAGAAGAAAGAGCAACAAAGAAAAATTGTTCTTAAATTTCTAAATTAGTGAGAGCAACATGTTACAGTAGATATATTTATTTTAATTTTTTTTTTTTTGAGAAGGAGTTTCGCTCTTGTTACCCAGGCTGGAGTGCAATGGCGCGATCTCGGCTCACCGCAACCTCCGCCTCCTGGGTTCAGGCAATTCTCCTGCCTCAGCCTCCTGAGTAGCTGGGATTACAGGCACGCGCCACCATGCCCAGCTAATTTTTTTGTATCTTTAGTAGAGACGGAGTTTCACCATGTTGACCTGGATGGTCTCGATCTCTTGACCTCGTGATCCACCCGCCTCGGCCTCCCAAAGTGCTGGGATTACAGGCTTGAGCCACAGCGCCCGGCCTTTAATTTTTTATAGTATTCTTTGATGTACGATTTTTTTTTTATTTTGAAGAAGTCCAGTTTATCAGTTTATTTTTTCTTCTGTTGTCTGTGCCTTTGGTGTCATATCCAAGAAATCATTGCCAAATCCAGTGTCATAAAGGTTTTCCCCTAAGGTTTCTTCTAAGAGTTTTTAATTTTTTAATGTTTGTTTTTTAAGAGTTTTTATAGTTTTAGGTCCTATATTTATGTCTTTGATCCATTTTGAGTTAGTTTTTGTAATATGTTAAAGATCCACCTTTATTCTTTTTCCTATGGATATTTAGTTTTTCTAATGTTACTTGTTGAAAAGACTGTTTTTCCCCTATTGAATGGACTGGCATCCTTGTCAAAAATTATTTGACCATATATGCAAGAGTTTATCTTTAGTCTTTCTCTGCTCTTCTTTTGGTTTATATGTCAGTACCACACTGTAAGCCTGTTTTGAAATCAGGAATTTTAAGTCCTCCATCTTTGTTCTTTTTCAAGATTGTTTCAGGTATTTGGGATCTCTTGAGATTCTATATTAATTTTAAGGTAGATTGTGTTTTCTGTTCCTGTAAAACATTCTTTGAGGTTTTGATAAGGATTGAATTGAGGCTTATTGATGTTACTGATCTTTTCAAACGACTGATTTTTGTTTCATTTTTTTCTCATATGGTTTCCTGTTTTCATTCATCGTTTTATGCTCTAGTGTTTTTTTTTTTCTGCTTACTTAAATTTAACTTGCTCTTATTCTTCTAGTTTTCTAAAGTAGAAGCTTACATTATTGATTTTAGATCTTCTAATATTTGCATTCAGTACTATGAATTTCCCTTTATGTAGTGCGTTGATTCATCCCACACATTTTGATAAATTGTATTTTTATTTTCACTTAGCTCACAATATTTTCAATTTCCCCTGAGATTCCTTTTTTGATCTATGCATTACTTAGAATATTGGCATTTTTTCAGCTGTTTTTCTATTACTGATTTTTAGTTTAAGTCCACTGTGATCTAACAGATACAATGTATGATCTCCAGTCTTTTAAATTTGTTAAGATATGTTTTATGACCCAGAATGTGGTTTGTAAAGGTTCCATGTGAGCCTGAGAATAATGAGTATTCTATTGTTACTGAATAAAAATAATCTGTAGATGTCAATTATATCCAGTTTTTTGATGGTACCATTGAGTTTAGCTGTTCCCTTAACTGATTTTCTGATTGTTGGATCTGTCCATTTCTGATAAAGGGATGTATATGGCCTGTTTTTAGACACTACATTGATCTGTGTAGCTCTGCTCTGCTCTTTATATTTTTTGAGACAGAGTCTACTAGCTCTGATTCCCAGACTGGAGTGCAATGGCCTCATCTCGGCTCACCACAACCTCCACTTCCTGGGTTCAAGCGATTCTCCTGCCTCAGCCTCCTGAGTACTTGGGATTACAGGCGCATGCCACCACACCTAGCTTATTTTTGTATTTTTAGAAGAGACGGGGTTTCACCATGTTGGTCAGGCTGTTCTCAAACTCCTGACCTCATGATCCACCCTCCTCAACCTCCTAAAGTGCTAGGATTACAGGCGTGAGCCACCACGCCCAGTCATCTCTTCTTTGAATTGTACCATGTTGTCTTGATTTGTAGCTTTGTAGTAAGTCTTGAAATAAGTAGTGGAAGTCCTTCATCCTTGTTTTTGAAAATGATGTTTAACTCTTCTATTTCCTTTGCCTTTTCATATACATTTTAGAATCAAGTTGCTAGTACCTACATAAAACTCTGCTGGGATTTTGATTGCCATTGTATTGAATCTATAGATCAATTTGGGAAAAATTAATGTCTTAATATACTGAGTCTTCTATTCCATTATTCCATGAATATGGTTTATCTCTCAATATGTAGGCCTTTTATGATTTCTTTTTTTATAGTTTTGTCATTTTCAGCATGCAAGTGTTGCCAGTTTTTTATTGTTTTTGTTTTTTGGTGCTATTGAAAATGGTATTTAAAAAAAAAAAAACTCATTCCTACTTATTTATAGAAATGCAATTGATTTTTAAAATATAAACATTGTAGCAGTGTATTTGCTAAAGTCACTGTAGGTGTAGATTAGTTTTGCAGATTCCTTGGGATTTTCTACATAGCCAATTATGTCATCTGCAAATTGAGACATTAATACTTTTTCATTTTCAACTGTATGCCTTTCTTCCCCCTTCCCATCTTGCTTATTTGTGCTGGCAAGGACTTCAGTATAATGGTAAATAGGAATGACAATGATGAACTTTTCTTGCTTTGTTCCTGATCTTAGGGGGAAATCTTGCAGTTTTTCACTACTAATATAATGACTAAATGCAGGTTTTAGTAGGCACCTCTATCAAGTTAAAGACGTTCTCTTTCATTCCTTCCTTTGCTGATAATTTTTATCATGTTGGATGTTGAATTTTGTTAAATGCTTTTTATGCACCTATCATCATATAGTTTTT